GCAAAAAAATTGTTGAAAAAATTTGCAAATTTTTTTTATTGCCAAAATGCTCGAAAACCGCTCGAATGATTTTGTTTTTGTTTTCTTTAATCAAAAATTCCACAGTTTTCCTTTCGTTTGGTATATGGGAAGTATTGGTTGATATCTTCTAAGTATGTTTATTTGACTTAAATATATGGACATAAATGATTTCCCATACAAAATCACTTCGTCATCGTTTTGCAAACACGTGCATGCGTTGAAAGTGAGGGAAGGAGACAAAAAGTATGTATGTGTGCGTAAGTACATATTTCGGCTTTTGGTAAACAGATGGCGCAATATTTATAACCTAAGCGCAGCGTATGTACATATGTAAATACATAAATACGTACATATGTTGATTGCAGTTAATGTGGATCTGTTTCTATTTTTTAGTAATCTATATATGTCTGTACATATTATATATGTATGAACACATGTATGCATAATACGCGAAAACTTTTTGAAGCGAAACAACACTTAGAAAAGACCAATCCATGAATAAAAGTAAAGGTGCGTACATACATAGATAAAGAAAAGGATAAAGGCAAAGGTAAAAATAAAAACAAAAACTAAGTTGCGTAAAGATAAAGGCACAAATGAAGACCAAGGTAAATTTAAACACTTTACTTATATATGGGCAAAGGTGAAGGGGAATATGTATATGAAGAATATGATAAACATAAAAATAAAAACAAAGATAAATATAAAGAAAAAGATGAGGCTGAGGATACCGATAAAAGTATAGATGAAGATAAAGGAAGAAAGCTTAAAATAAAGGTAGTTTTAGAGAAAAGGATATAGATAGAGGCACAGAGACCCAATCTGGGAACTATTTCGGGATTTTAGAGATTTTCGGCACTCTCGGGACTTATCGATATAATAATCGATATTTTGTCGGTTTTAAGATCGATATTCTTATCGAAATTTTTATTGATATTGTTATTGATTTTGCTATCGATTTTTTTGGGAACTTATCGATATAATGATCGATATTTTTATCGATTTTGTTATCGATATTTTTATTGATTTTGTTATCGATGTTATTATCGATTTTGTTATCGATATTTTTATCAGTTTTGTTATCGATTTCGTTATCGATTTTGCTAACGATTTTGTTATCGATATTTTTAAAGATTTTGTTGATATTTTAATCGATTTTGTCATCGATATTTTTATCGGTTTTGTTATCGATATTTTTATTGATTGTGTTAACGATTTTTCTAACGATATTATTATCGAATTTGGTATCGATATTGTTACTGATTTTGCTATCGATATTTTCGGAACTTACCGATATAACGATCGATGTTTTTATCGATATTTTTTTCTTAGTGTGTGCTTTCGTTTTTGACTTGGATATGCTCTTAACCATACCACGTATTCTACGTTTAAGCTTAGCCTGCAGACCAAGACGAAGGGGCTGGACTGTTCCATTTTCTGCACTATCAAACAAATGTGTGCATATGTATTTATGTATGTATGTATAATAACGACAAGACAGAGAGTAGAAAATAAAAATTAATAAATAAATATTAATGTTAGCAGAAAGCAAAAGACGATTTTTTTTATTAAACGTATCAGATTTCCAAACAAAAATAAATGTACAAATTGCAAAGTCATATGAAGCTGGCAACATTGTCAAGCAGAGAATATCTATCATTTAAATTTTGAAGTACGTCTAATACTTATCGCGATTCATAATGATTTCGATTGATAGGGTTGGCCAATCTAAACAGGGTGAGGTCGGAAAAACAACAACCCTTGGTGGTGAGAAAACCCGAATCATTCCAGGGCGTAGAATCGGCTGTCGTGGGAATGATACAACTCCGTCGCAAGGTGACGGCTCCTGGGCTTGCCGTTAGAAAAGCTTGACGACAACGATTGGTAGACTAATTAATTTAGGCGAGGCTTTCAAGTGTCACTACAACAACAACATAATGATTTTTACATTATGGCTATAGAAGAAGCTCTTGATGTTTTGACATGTTCAAGTAATATTCGTCGATGCATTGAAAATATTCCCTTCCTTATGAATTAATGGAGTAGTCTGAGGAAAATATGAGCTTTGTTGTTGTCGTATAATCACAAAAATTGCTAGAGTTTTAGAGAATGTTGCTTAATGACTCGTACACTCCGTAGTCGCGCAATTGTAGCCAGACCACCCTTGTTGAAGTGGCGAGAAGTTGGATTTGATTTTGACAGGGAGGTTAAGGTCCGTGCACCGAAGAATTGAGAAAGATCGGAGAGATAGCTGTCCTTTATTTCTTCAAAAGGTCATTAACCAACATTAGAGATCAGTGAAACTCCCTCTGGAAGCTGAGAAAGATTTCGAGATGTAGAAGTTAAACAGTAGTGGGTACCCGACACCACCTAACCGACACATCGTTCAATGGTGATGGGCTTCAAGATTGGATTACGACAGAATACAGACGATTTTTGACCACTGATAATTACTAGTTAACCCTATGGAAGGGAGTATTACTACATGGTCTCTAGTAGTGTCGAGTTGCAAACAGTGGCTAAAGCTTCGACAAATCAAAGCTGCTATGACAATTCTCCCACAGATACAATTTTGGTTTAGGCTACGAGTTTCTTGGTTCATTATGGCGTTAAGTGCTGTGCTGATTGTTGTTCTAACAGCATATAAATTCCCCCAAAGAGTTTTTGGGGAAGTGTTGCTGGAGTGACGGTCCTTGGCCAGATATAAATCTGCATTGTTCCGGTTACGTACACCCGACTGTCGTAGGAACTTTGCTGTGCTGATACTTTGATTCGCTGAGGCCAGGTGATATTGGTACCGAAGAGCAAAGCCCCAAGAGGTTTTACTTATCGGACAACAATACTCAAATTTGGTGCCTAGTTTCCACATTTCAGTAGTGAGACCAGTCTTCAAGGGTGGCAAATAACAGAATGAAGACTTCAGTTAGACATTCTACTGCCGCCAAACGCAATTGTGTAACTACCAGGATAATAGTATATTGGGACCAATGACTTTGGAGAATGAGGATCCGCTTCATCGAGTTTTATAGGGACCTCGCGGCACCACCAACGATTACGCACACCAGACGTGATGTTGTAGGTCTTCACGTGCTCTTTCCAGTTCTTCCGCTTATGTTTGTTTGACAGTTGCCGAATATGCAAATTGGGAGGTCTGATCGACCTGGCGTAACGTTGTCATACTGATTTGGTAATATAGCAGCTTCAGCCTGGAAATGCCGGAGAAGTTAAGCACCTACAACTGTAAGATAGGGATTAAAAATTCTTCGAAAATGCCATTTAAAGCGTAATTAATGTGTCAAGTACTTAAGACACAATTTCATATTACTTATTGGCCACGAATTTGATAAAAATGAATTATTAAACCAAAGTTCGCGTTTCTTATAAATAAAATATGTGTGGGGTTTCCGTACATACATATGTACGTTCACATACAATATGGTTCGATATTTTTTTAATAAAAATAAACCAGTGTGCTGCATTTTTTGTCTTCCCATTGCAGCAGCAGAATGAAATGTAAACTTTCGATTTCGAGTCAAATGTATTTAGCATACGGCTTTTACATATATATGTTTGTACATAGTTAAAAATAGTGCAAGCATGAATTTCAAACTGGGGAAATGGGTGTAAACGGAAACGTGATATTTGAACTGTGGAATATTTATTATTTTTGTAATAATTTTAATTGTGTAATTATTTCTAGACATGCATATATGTTTCTACTTACATATCGACCCCTTAGCCCAAAATTATCGTATGTTACATTTTTTATGAAATTCACTTTTTGATGCAACTTTATTTTACAACCTATAACGCATCACCTGTTTAAATATTACGGCTTAAATATCAATAGCAACTGCACAAATTGACTGTAAATTTTACCGTATGTGACAATGCATTTTTTCTTGTGGGCGAAATTATCGCATGTGCTAAGAAATTCAAATGTAGAGACCTTAAAAAAATCTTCAGCAAATCTAAACTTTTGTATTAAAGGTGTCAGCCAAAGCAGAAAACTACAAAGAATACTTTCTTGTAAAATTTGTTTTTTGTAATACATATACAATAATTTTGCGCAAAGGGCTCGATATGTACCTAATAGGGCTGTGCGATTATTCGATTACTCGAGCAAGTTGGTTAATCAATTATTCGGTTAATCAATTACTCGAGTAATCAAGATTTTGATTACTCAAAACGATGATTAATCGAGTTACTTGAAATATGATTACTCAAAAAAATAATTTTGCTCGTTAAAAGAGTTTGCTTTGGAAAATGCTTATTTTTTTTTACATTCTGTATATGAAAAACATTTTTTTGTTTTAATTTAAAAAAAACAACGTTGTTTTCAAAGTATCAAGGAACTTTAACTACTTTATACATATGTAAAAAGTTGAAATTTTGATGACTCATTTTACTCGAAATGTTGATTAATCATAAAGCAAATTACTCAAATATTTTTGTTTTTGGTTAATCAAAAATCTTGATTACTCGAGTAACTGAACTTTTGAGTATTCATAATTTCAAATTAATCGAATAATTGAGTTATTTACTTTATGACTAATTAAAATTTTGAGTAATCAATTAATCGCACAGCCCTAGTACCTAATATGAATATTTAAAATAATTTTCAATTGGGATTTTCTAGTTGTCATACGGGCATATAAAGGTTTACTAGCCGAAACACCACTGGCTTTAATGCTGCCATCCCAGGCAGGCAAACGAGAAGTGATCAAATCAAAATGCATACAAACATACTCGCACAATTGAGATGAGTCAAGCGAAACATGCTCCTTTACTTGAATATGAATCATAAGTTTTAAATTTAAAATAAGCAGCAGCACAAACAACGGAAACTAACAAAAAAAGATAACGGCTATCGATAAGAGTGCACAAGTGAATTCCTCAGCATCTGGTTGCGCTGCTTGTAAGCCATTTGATGACACTAATGTAAACGCAGCGTGTATACTGAGGTTTACTCCACCGTGTTACATTTGATACATTTCAGGTTCTTAATTCATATTTAATCTAGATACGTCTCCTCAACATCTTCTTCATATTTAAGATAGGAACATAAAATTATCACATCAATTTGATGGTAGGATAGTCTTCTCTGCTTCGGAACTCAACTTCCCAACCTAACGAGTCGCATGCCGGAAAGGATGGTAGGCTGGAGGCGGCTGGTAGGCAGCTGTGAAAGAGCCAAAAAGGAAAGTGAAAAAGTGAATCAACATTTTAACTGCAGCCATCACCGACCACAACCACAACGACGACGATAACAACGAAGCAGCCGACCAAACATAGAGGGCGAACCAGAAATGAATATGCGAAGCACAGAAGTGATAAAAGTAAATGGGAGAACAAGTAAGAAAGTCTAAGTTCGGGCGGAGCCGAACATTAAATACCCGGCGCAAGTATTAAATATATGTTTTTCACCTTTTCGAAAGATACCGCTACATGGTAAACCGTTTTCCAGCTTCAAGCATTTCTGAAATTTACCGTTATATGAAAAGCGGCCGTAATTTTAGTTCAATTTCAATAATTTTCAACGTTTTGTTTCTATGTGGCAAGCACAATAACCACACCGAGTTTGGTACAAATTGGTAGAACGGTTACCGAGATACCCATATGTGATCATAAGTGGACGGTGCCACGCCCATTTTTAAAAATTTTATCCTAAACGTATTTCTTGGTAAAGAATTGTTGCAAGCATCAATTTTGAATAAATTGGCTTCAATAATTACTGATTTATCGAAGATTTCGTATTACTCTAAATTACCGTTGTATGGGATGTGGGCGTGGTTATTGTCCGATTTTAAAATTTTTTGGCCATTTCGTATTTTATACCAAGGTTAACAACTGTGTCAAATTTATAAGAAATTAGTGCAGCGGTTACCAAATTATACACATGTAACCATTTTTCGTCTAAAACTTATTTTAAATATCAATTTTGAGTGAATAATTTTCAGTAGTTACTAAAATATCGCTGTTTTCGTATTTCGGAATATTGCCGTTATATGAGAGGTAGGCGTGGTTATTGTCCGATTTCGCCCATTTTCAATACCATCCGTCCTACGCCCAAAAGAAGTGCATGTACGAAGTTTCGTTAAGATATCTCAATTTGTACTCGAGTTATCGTGTGCACAGACGGACGGACGGACGGACAGACAGTCACCGCTTAATCGATTTCTCTTGTAATCCTGATCATTTATGTATACATTTGTCTATATCTATCTCGATTCGTTTTGCCTGTTATAAACAACCGTTATGTGAACAAAGTTATAATACCCTTGTGCACAAGTGCGCTCGGGTATAAAAATGTTTGATTTTTTTTTTGCCTTTTGGGATGTTGGAAAAATGTTGCTGCGTTGCGGCGCTCCTTTATTCTGCAATACCACGATGATGACAAAAAGACTGGAGAAAATGTATTGGCTTGTTCTGAATTATTGTACATACATATGTAGGTAGACCCTTTGAGTGCAAGAAGTCACGCACATTAGTTAGCAGCTGTATGGACGAATGGAAAATTTTGGGAATCCTATAACGTCATCTTGTTTTGATTTATTAACATACCATTATTGTTCTGATCTAACTATTAATCCAATTTTTAGGTTTTAAGCTCAACTTGTTTTTTTACTATCTTCATATCTTAGTCTACTTATATTTACAGTCGAATGATTGTTGGTAACCAAAAATGCAGCTGCACAGTGTACTTGCTACCATAGTGGCAACATTTAACGCAAAATTATTATGTAAATTCATTAATATACAATCTGCTCTTATTTGTTTTACATTAGTTAAAAGCGGTTGAATGAAACCTTGAACTATTGCAGTTTCCTTTCCTGTGCAGGGTATTGTAACTTGAAGTATTGCCGAAGTTTACGTTTCTATTTATTCCTTCTTTCACAATTCGATCTTACGTCAAACGTAATGCATTGCAACAACACAAAAAGGGCAGCGACGCAACATTTTGACAAATGCAAATGGTTTTCCAATGGTAATTTAGACATATTTTTTCGCTTAATACTGATTTCACAGACTTTTATCTTATACAAAATATATGCCGCTTACAAGCTGGCAGATAATTAACAACTCGTTGTTTTAGTTATTGTAAACAGGAACAATTTCATATATTTCACACACACGCGGCGTATTTGATGGCTAATGAAATCTGTTCACTCGACGTTGTGCAAAAATTTAGTTTGCGAAATTTTTGTTGCTTATTTCTTCACATTTCTATATTTTTCATATTCCAATAGCCGAGCCGAGGCACTGTGAATTAATCAAAAAACAGAAACAGAAAACAGCAGCAGTTACCGCAGCGCCAGTAGTGCCGCTGTCAGCTTCGAACTTTTCTCGGTTCATTCGGTTCACAGGCAAAGCCAGCAGGCAAGCACACATTCACATCGATTTGTTGCACTAATTTCCTAAACATTTTACGCACTTACAAACATAATGCCCACTCGGAAAACATTGCTAAACTGTAATTAGTGCAACGCTAAACACTTTTCAGTTATTAACACCTTTGTACACTACTAATTTCAACTGTAATTTAGTGAAATTTTTCGCAAAAAACTCATTTTTGCCAATCGAATCGACAACGAAGTGTGGAAATGACACACGGCAAAAAAATTTTGACAGTTGCAGCAGCGCAGTGTAACCGAGCCGAGAAGAGACGAGCGCACTAGTAGCGGACGAAGAGCGCATTTGGCAGCGTCTCTGCGGCAGCGGCTCTGCGCACACACACACACACAAACGCTAAAGAACACATTTTTGATCAGACAAAACGCAGCAGGGAAACTTAAGCTTAATTCCAATTGAAACCTACACAATTTCGATAGCGTGGTCTTGTTATAAACATGTGTTTTTCGTTAACGAAACGTTTACACGTACTTTATTTTGCACAATTAAGGTTATTTAAGCGATGCGTCCATCTGCAAAATACTCTTCACAACGAACTGAACTGACGACTGCGAACGAACGAACTAAAGTACGAATGTCAAATATCTGACAAAATCGAAAAAACAAAATAAAAAAAAAACAAAAAAAAAATCAATCCACCCTGTTCTTGTAGTGTACAAATGATTTCCGGTAGTGCATTCCAGTAATGTTGACATTTGCAGCGGCGCGGCGTGTCGCTTTAGTCGCTGACAATGATGCGTTGAGGGAAAAATGTTATCAACCGGTTCAGCGCGGATATTCTAGTAATTTCCGGTAGTGCATTTTGGTGGATTATTATGTTATTAAGGTTTTCACATTAGCTAACGGATTTTTTGCCAGCAGGTGACGCAAGTGTAGTTCATTGCCGGTATGCAGGTCATTGAAGGTTTGTGTTAATGATGTCGATAATTAAGGGATGCAGTGAAATTTCGAGGACGATATTTATAATGCCAAAGATGATTGAGCAGGAGCTAATGAATTTAAAAATAAAATTATTTCTGTATTAAGATTTGTATGTTTTTTTTTGTTTGGAAAATCCAGATTATGTACAGGAAAATCTTACACGCATATGACAAGTCAAATATAACGAGGGTTCCCGCGACAATCGGATTTACGTAACCGGAATGAATCAGATTTGTATCAGGCCAAGGACTGTCACTTCAACAACATCCCCCAAAACTCTTTGGGGAGTTTTTATGCTGTTAAGACAACAACTAGGGCTGACAATAAATTCTATCTGCAATTAAAAAAGAAATGTGGGGTACATTCATATATTACATAAGGACATACATATCGTCGTTTAAAGTACAAAACCGCGTATCCAGACAATGCAAAAACGCGTACGTGAGGTTACTATCGACGTTTTCTAATTATTTTCTAGAGATTAAAAACACTCACTCATATGTCAAAATGGTTCTATTTTTCATGAAGCAATCGCATTTGTGGCTAGTATATTTCAGGACGAATGGATAAGGATTGAGCCAAGAGCTTGTGGGAGCAAATCAAATTTTAAGGGCCGTTTTCAGCATACCTTGTTAACACTAATCCCTCGTTAACATCGTTATCGATACACTGCTATCTGAATGAGGTCGGTAATAGCCGTGTTTTATTTGTCTGTTTGTGTGGTTGGTTTCCAACACTGTGAACTTTTGATAGGTCATATCAAGCTGCAGATGGCTTAACGAAGGCACGCGTACGGTTAACCTTTCGACCTTTTTGCAAGACATCCTAGCCTCCACTTTGGACCACCACAAGATCTTGGAGCCACATTGAACAGTCTCTTCTCTATCTCATCACATACCGTCACCACTTGCAAAGAATAAAGTGCCATGAGCAAAGTCAGCAACTCGCAAACCGGTAGTGTTTGGGGAGACGACAAGGAGCTTCAGCTAGCAATGTACATACCAGAGCTGTAAAATGATTGAATCAGTAGGATCTGCATTCACTTGGCACTCGTTTCAAAATTTTGATTGTTTGGTTGTATAAGAAAAACCTCATTCCTGAGTGGCTTAAATTATTTTGAAACAAAAGCAAACGTAATGTGTTATTGAATGGCAGAGTTCCATTCAGTATAGAGTGTGAATGTGACAAAAGTATTCGCAATCATCGTGATTGTAAATTTTGGGTGAATGCAAACAGTTTTGATCATTCAGTACTACACTGAAAAAATATGCCTTGACACCAGAATAAAATCTTTATAGGAGAAAATAGTGGTTTACTTCTGCTTTTCTACTACTGCTACAATTTGGTAAAGCATTACCTACGAACAGAAGTACGTACCAGCTTTGGATATTCTGTCAATGCTTTTTAAAACCAACTGCATGTTTTTGAATGAAACTTGCGGTCAATTTTATTTAACGAACTAAATTTTTATTTGTACAAAGAGATATTTTTATTTCTCAATACCAGGCGCTCATACATATGTATGAAGCAGCAAGCTTTCTATACGTATAAATTTGTTTGTAGAACTTTTAAATTATTTTTTTTTTGTATAAGCCTTTGAACCAAGGCGAATTTATATAAGGTGGTGTTGTTTCATCAGCTGTGAGTAGCGTTTGATTGTCAAAATTTTGAATTTCGTTAGTGAGTGAGTGAAAACGTGAGAGTGTTTGCATTTTCTGTCGCCCTTTTTCATTCGGGGAAGAATAGCTGAAATTTGACAATGGCCCGCTAAAAGCAAAAACAAAATACAAGTAATTGTTGTATTTGTTCAATCGATACCACCTTATATCTATTCGCCTTGCTTTGAACTTTACAAAGTAGAATTTTGGAAATTTAAAAATTTATACAAACAATTTTGTTACTTCTACGTACGAAAACTTGTTACTTCACATGCATGAGCGCATGGTATTGGGAAATGAAAATATCGTTTTTTACAAATAAAAACGATCATAAAGGCGCTGGCCCAATGCAGGCTTGCTTTGCGCGCCTTGCTGACTTCAATTTGGTTTGATTCACTTTGAAAACTTGCTTGGCCGAATGGTGGCTTGGAACGCTGTCAAAGTAACCAGCTGTCTGGTTGAAAAGTCAATGTCTGTTCCCTTAACGTTAATAATTATTTCCTAGGAAACTCTAAAAAATGTATGACAAACTTTCAGATTTATTTTTAAATTAATGCGAAATAATGTTTGTATTTAAAAGAAATGATAATAATACATACATATCTATATCTACATTTACTAACAAAACTATGACTTAAAAAAGCGATTTACTTGAAGAAGAAGTTTTTTCCTGGAAACAATAAATCCTTTTTATTTCATTTCGAATTACCTGCATTTTCTGTGGCTTATTTAAATTAAGTAAGCAAATTTTTGTTTGAATTTATGTATTTTGAAAGGAACATACCTCTTTGCCAAAAGCATACAAAACGCTTTCAAATAAAACATTTGCCTAATTCAAACTTAGAGGCGCTTAAAGCAAGTGAAGAAAAGCTGCCATTTGGCCAGCCTTTATACGTTTTAGTATATTCCAAATAATTTTTAACACTTCTCGCAGCGAAGCAAGCAAAGCAAGCCTGCATTGGGTCAGCACCTTAAAGGGTGGCCGCGCTAAAATGGGCACATATGTATTTTAAAAAAGGACATTATATGTATGTGGATAAACCATGGACTGAATGATAAAAGCTGCTATCATTCGATGGTTGTTATGCTTGATTATTTCATGTTCTGCAGATTTTCCAATCTTTAAAAGAAAAAAATTATAGATACTAATTGTCTTGGAACATTTTGCACTCAGTTTTTAAACAACCAAAACTATAAATTTGTACAATATGTTCATGTGAATCAAGCTGCGTTTCATGCGTGGAGGAGTCCAAGCACAACCATTCATTCGTAGGACATGGCTTAGCCCGCGTGGCCGCTGTGCATTGATACGCGACAGTATGTCAATATTGTTTTAAAGTTCATACACCTCATTATTCCATTATCTAAACTTACATATTTTTCTTAGTGTATAAAATTTGATTGGAACTGAATTAGAGAATGCACACATAGCAAAGTGTTCATTCATCTCGAAGCTAATTCAGTATTGAATTCTGTTTATTTCAGCATTCTCAGTTTTTCATTCAGGTATTTACCACCTTAGTGTGTGAAATCAATTTCTTTTTGAATGGTTGTAGATTGAAAGAAATATAAGCCATACTACCAGACCAAAGGAACGAGAATGAAATCTTACTTGTAAATATTTCATGATTTAAATTTTAAATGATTTCACAGTTTCACAGCTCTGGTACATACATATGTATGTCGATCGACCCATCGGTTGGAGACTATAAAGCACAAGGGGCTACATGCTGCCATCTCATGCCATCCATGCGGCAACACCACGAAGAAAGCCATATGCTGGTGGTGAGGCAGCACAGCATCTTTCTATTGCGGTACCAATCTGGCTTGAAAACTTTGATCGGATCTTCTGTTCAATGGGACACAATAAAAAGTGGCGCTCAACAATGTTCACAGCGATTCTATTTGGCTAACTATTCACACTTGCGAAGACAAAATCGGGCTAGAAGAACTACCGAGTGGGACCAGCTCAGCTCCATGACGCGTGGTGCCACAGACTAAACAAGTTCCTACCTCAGCTGAACTCAGAAGTGGCGGTTTACGACGACTTAGAGACCGGAAGTACTGTGCAGTGCGCCCATTGACGGCGTACGCTCTCTTGGCCTCACACTCGCCGATTATTTCACTAATTTTATTGTTGTAAGATTGCAGTTGTATTTTCTACCCCAAACCAAGCCTTAAGGGGAGCAGAATTTTCATTGCTGGGCTCCAGAATGCAGCTGGTGTCAGATCGATGGTATGGAGCATGCGCAGATAGACTACGGTTAGCCATTTCCGCAGGTGTCAGTAGCTTCTGAAATGATCCTAGCGCAACTCCGAGCTCAGCATACTGCATAAACCAGACCGGAGTTGGGCAAGGGTGATTCGAGTGCCCCTTCGACAGTGATATACGGTCGACATATTGGTCCCGTCTGCCTCCACTGCCACTATAGGATCACTTCCTTTGTCCAGGTAGTATATAATGTGACCGTTGACTAGGTTGGGATGTCTGCAAGTTGCGCGCCGTGAAGATGCAGTGCAGTTTCTCGACTTAGAAGCCAATCAAAGTGTGTGAGAGAGTGCCGTCCTGTGAAAATCACCATTAAATTCTTGTAACGTGCCTTAGAGATCCGATGACTACTTAGCTTGTAATTGAAAAACTAGCGACTTGTAAGAGAATGGCATTATCGGGTCTTAGCACACGATCCTTTCTTATTCAGGTCCCCATGTAACGGGTGATTTTTTAAGAGCTTGATAACTTTTTTTTTAAAAAAAACGCATAAAATTTGCAAAATCTCATCGGTTCTTTATTTGAAACGTTAGATTGGTCCATGACATTTACTTTTTGAAGATAATTTCATTTAAATGTTGACCGCGGCTGCGTCTTAGGTGGTCCATTCGGAAAGTCCAATTTTGGGCAACTTTTTCGAGCATTTCGGCCGGAATAGCCCGAATTTCTTCGGAAATGTTGTCTTCCAAAGCTGGAATAGTTGCTGGCTTATTTCTGTAGACTTTAGACTTGACGTAGCCCCACAAAAAATAGTCTAAAGGCGTCAAATCGCATGATCTTGGTGGCCAACTTACCGGTCCATTTCTTGAGATGAATTGTTCTCCGAAGTTTTCCCTCAAAATGGCCATAGAATCGCGAGCTGTGTGGCATGTAGCGCCATCTTGTTGAAACCACATGTCAACCAAGTTCAGTTCTTCCATTTTTGGCAACAAAAAGTTTGTTAGCATCGAACGATAGCGATCGCCATTCACCGTAACGTTGCGTCCAACAGCATCTTTGAAAAAATACGGTCCAATGATTCCACCAGCGTACAAACCACACCAAACAGTGCATTTTTCGGGATGCATGGGCAGTTCTTGAACGGCTTCTGGTTGCTCTTCACTCCAAATGCGGCAATTTTGCTTATTTACGAAGCCATTCAACCAGAAATGAGCCTCATCGCTGAACAAAATTTGTCGATAAACACATTTCGAACCGAACACTGATTTTGGTAATAAAATTCAATGATTTGCAAGCGTTGCTCGTTAGTAAGTCTATTCATGATGAAATGTCAAAGCATACTGAGCATCTTTCTCTTTGACACCATGTCTGAAATCCCACGTGATCTGTCAAATACTAATGCATGAAAATCCTAACCTCAAAAAAATCACCCGTTATTTGTGACGATATGAAGTGCATCAGAGTGACCGTTTTAAGGATTTTTGGAAGACGCGTTGCGAATGATGGTAAGAGTAAAGCTTAGGGTGTCTCAACCACGAAGGAGAGGGGATGATGCTCGCAGACGAATCACCGAAATCCTTGCGATTTTGTGTGAGAATAAAAACAGGTTGTGTTCTTTATTATCAACTGCTAGGAGATGGTCTTGTTCATGACTGACTGGTTATTTTTCCAACGGTTCACATAAGGACGTCAAAGCCGCTCTGGGAATGATTATCGGGTCTTGTGCTAATTGACAATTCGCTTAATTTTGACATTTTTATCCTAAATCCTTGGATCGTCTTATTTCGACGACGTACTCCATCTGTTATTGCCCTTGGCTCCGTAGAATAAACTGCCATTTGGGTGTTCTTCTGCCTACTAAAACATATAAAGCGAGAGCCTGCTGTATTCATGATCTCGTGGAGGCTTTATTCCTTTATGTAATTTCATATTGATGGAACTTATGAAACCTTATCAAAGATTGCGATATCATAGATCTGTGGCTAAATTTGTTTTAAAGAGCAAGTGGATAGGTACTCCTCATAACCTTTAATCTTTAATATACATAATTATAATTTGTATTGAACTTTAACACTAATTAGCACCACCATCCCATATTTAACATATGTACATATGTCTGCATTATCAGTACACATTACTAAAAAACATAAAGAACGGTAAATACTTGCTATACAGTAGTTTGTACAAAACCTGTGATAAGCAATATTTTATCATTCACTGCCCTCGGTGATGGCGTTGATGGTTTTATCTTCGAGTTTGTCTACTGATTTGCTGATT